GGTGCACCAGGCTATCGATACGTACGGCGTGCAGGCGTTTGCGGGCTTCCTCCGACGGCTTCTCCCCGTCGGCACTACGTTCGGACACGTGTGGGGCAGGGTACGTTGAGCGTTGAATGCAAATGCTCGTGATTCTATACACCGACAATTTGATGGTGTCCACACAGTCCAAGCTACGACATGAACCCACCGCTAGATTGCACGCTACCCCAATGCAGATCCTCAACCAAAGAGCTCCTGCCCCAAGAAAGCACGAGGTTCACCCAGTTATAAGCTTATCGGTAATGGGAATTTATGCATTTATACAGGCTATTATAGGTTACGATTGTTTTTCACCGACCATTTCATCGCCCTGGAAGCCAGAAGCATGGCTCGTCCCGCGCGGTCCTCTTGGCAGCTCTTCAAGCGTCGCGGCATCAGCTCGGCGGAGGACCTTTGGCTTCGAAGCCGACGCGTTCCGAGGCCTGCATGTCGACCTGCATGTCGACCATGTATGTGCGTACGGGTACCAAGGCTTCTCTCGATCCGGCCGTATCCGGTCGATCTTTTTATCCGAACGGTTTGCATCGCATACTTTCCCCTTGCACTTTCCCATTCAAGATGGACCAGCAAGGACGCAGAAGCGAGGGCCTCGCCACCACGCCCCCCGTCGACTACGGTGAAGTGGCCAGCGACGGCAGCGAGGCCAGCGCCAGCGACTGCGACTGCGACGACAGCGACGACGACAGTGCCGACGGCAGCGACTTTGAAGGCGAACAAGACGTACGCACTGCAACTGCAACACGACTTCTCATGACTGCTACGTTCATCATGTAGGGCAGCGACGCAAGCGAGGCCAGCGTCAGCGACTGCAGCCAGCACGACAGCGACGACGACTCGCCCGGCGTCTCTTTCAGCACGACGAAGCGCAAGGCCCTCGTCGTCCTCGACTCGGACTCGGATGATGACTGGACACCATCAAATTGTCGGTGTATAGAATCACGAGCATTTGCATTCAACGCTCAACGTACCCTGCCCCACACCGTCCTTTACGGTGTCAAAGGCAAGACCGTCTGGCGCTGGGGCGGCGGCGCTGGCACGCCGTACGTATCGATAGCCTGGTGCACCAAAATGTCTTAGACGGTGATGCTAGCGCGAGTTCTAGCGGCTACAAGAGCTCGAGAGCCTTGTTGACAAGTTTCTCGAGAACGAACAGCGGAGCAACGACCAGCAGAGCAACGGCCTGGGCATCCACAACGTGTGGAATACGCATTGCAAACGAGCGATGAGAGCATCGAGTCGCGCCCAGGTCACATGAGCAGCTCCAAGCGTCGCCGCGTCTGCTGCTGGCGACCGCCCTCGAATTATCCCAGGATAAATCAATCATGTTCACCGGAAAGTGCGTATTTAGCCAACCGATGGCAGCTCAGTTTTGGGCATGCTCGCTTTCGCACACAAGGGGAAATTTCAACCGGCCATTTATGTGGACTGCACGCCCGCGTCAATCGCGCCAATAAGTCCGGTAGCAACAATTGAGCGACAGACGCAGGGGTTGTACAAGCCCCGGCCGACAGATGATAGGGATGGATTCCCCTACCTTTTGGCGCGGAAGTTCCAAGAGCTGTACGAAGAGTCGCTGGGTCGCCTGCGCTTGGGCAGCAGTATGTTTGACAGCGGACTATAGCGACCCGGCGTAGCTGGGTCTGGTTATTGTTGGTAGCGATGGGGCCTGCGCGATCGCGCGGGACCTCGATGAAACGCTTTGTTACAAAAGTGTTAGCTCCGCTACAACAGGTCAGTGCGGGTCGTGGCGAGTACCCTTTAGGATGTGCGGAGATAACACTTCGAGGCTATCTCGAGGTTCGCTTCGCTCGAGAGGTTCAGTGTCGTGATTTCGGGGTGCTCTAGAATTTCGAGCACAGTGTCGCAAGCACCGACCGATAGCGAGGCATGCGTGGAGCGACCGTGGGAATGAATGCAAAACTGCGTCAGCGCGGGCACGCCAAGGCCGTATCGCTGACGTTCCGCGGCGCTTGGCGATGGCTGTTGGCGCGATACTCAAGCGCCAGCGTTGCGAACAGAGGGCCTAGTTGAGCAAGGTGGGTGAGGGCACTTTAGACACGAGCGCCCAATCGATCATAAGGAATGGAATGGCCACACGAGTCCCCCCATTAGCTGTCCTACTGTTGTCCTACTGTATGCTCGCAAGGGAAGATGACAACTGCTAACGTTGTGCATAAATTGAACGACAGCAAGTGGAATACAACTTGTCAAATATATAAATTGTTAGCAAAAACATGTATCGCGGCAGCATTGATATCTTAGTCGACCTCCTCGATCGTCGGGCCTTGCGTGGTGCTACCAGTCGGCGGCGCAGCACCTCCATTGGGGACACCGCCCGCGTTGGGCGCACCACCGGCGTACATCTTTTGCATGATGGGGTTAGCCACCGCCTCGAGCTCCTTCTGCTTGCCTTCAAACTCCTCCTTCTCCGCGTGCGAGTTGTGGTCGAGCCAGTTGATCGTGTCCGTCACCATGTCGTCCAGACGCTTCTTGTCGTCCGCGTCGATCTTGACCTTTTCGTCGTTGAGCGTGTTGCGGAGGTTGTACGCGTAGTTTTCGAGCGCGTTCTTGGCCTCGACGCGCACCTTGTGGGCCTCGTCCTGGGCCTTGTACTTCTCGGCCTCTTGCACCATGCGATCAATGTCGTCCTTGGAGAGGCGGCCCTTGTCGTTCGTGATCGTAATCTTGTTCTCCTTGCCGGTCGACTTTTCGACCGCCGAGACGTTGAGGATGCCGTTGGCGTCAATGTCAAACGTCACGTCCACCTGCGGCACACCGCGCGGCATCGGCGGGATGCCATCGAGGCTAAACTTGCCGAGGAGGTTGTTGTCCGCCGTCATGCTGCGCTCGCCCTCGTACACCTGGATGAGCACGCCGGGCTGGTTGTCGGCGTACGTCGAAAACGTCTGCGACTTCTTCGTGGGCACCGTCGTGTTGCGCGCAATGAGCGTCGTCATGACGCCGCCAGCCGTCTCGAGGCCGAGCGAGAGCGGCGCCACGTCGAGCAGCAAAAGGTCCTGCAGCTTGGCCGACTGGTTGTCACCGCTGAGGATCGCGGCCTGGACGGTCGCGCCAAACGCAACGGCTTCGTCCGGGTTGATCGACTTGCACGGTTCCTTGCCATTGAAAAACTCAGAGAGGAGCTGCTGCACCTTGGGGATGCGCGTCGAGCCACCGACAAGGACGACTTCGTGGACCTGGGACTTGGAGAGCTTGGCGTCCTTGAGCACCTTCTCGACCGGGTCCATCGTCTTGCGGAAGTAGTCGGCGCAGAGGTCCTCAAAGCGCGCGCGCGTGATGGTCGAGTTGAAGTCGACGCCGTCAAAGAGCGAGTCGATTTCAATGTAGGCCTGTGCCGACGCCGACAGCGTCCGCTTGGCGCGCTCGCAGGCGGTGCGCAGACGGCGCAGCGCACGCTGGTTCTGCGTCATGTCCTTGCGGTGCTTGCGCTTGAACTCGGCCGTGAAGTGGTCCACGAGCCGGTTGTCAAAGTCTTCGCCACCGAGGTGCGTGTCGCCGGCCGTCGCCTTGACCTCAAAGATGCCTTCCTCGATGGTCAAGAGCGACACGTCAAAGGTGCCGCCGCCAAGGTCAAAGATGAGCACGTTGCGCTCGCCGCCCTTCTTGTCGAGACCGTACGCGATGGCCGCCGCCGTCGGCTCGTTGATGATGCGCAGGACGTTGAGGCCGGCGATGGCACCGGCATCCTTCGTTGCCTGGCGCTGCGAGTCGTTAAAGTATGCCGGCACTGTGATGACGGCGTTGGCAACGGGACCGCCGAGGTACGCTTCCGAAATCTCCTTCATCTTGATCAAGACCATGGACGAAATCTCTTCGGGCTGGAACGTCTTGGACTCACCCTTGAACTCGACCGTGATCTGCGGCTTGTCCGCGGCGCCCGGCGTCACCTTGAAGGGCCAGTGCTTGATGTCGGCTTGGACGACCGCGTCGTGGAACTTGCGTCCGATGAGGCGCTTGGCGTCAAACACTGTGTTGGCCGCGTTCATGGCCACTTGGTTCTTGGCCGCGTCGCCGATGAGGCGCTCGTTGTCGGTGAAGGCCACGTACGACGGCGTCGTGCGGTTGCCTTGGTCGTTGGCGATGATTTCGACGCGGTCGTTCTGCCACACGCCGACGCACGAGTACGTCGTGCCGAGGTCGATGCCCACGCTGTAGGTAGTCGTCGCCATGATGCTAGTCTTGGGTTCTGGTTGTTGTTGTTGTTGTGATGCAGAGGCTGCAAATTGCAAAGTGCGTTGTGCGCGCGCTGCTCGTGACTTGATACTGCGTGGCACTTTCTCGAACGCGCGCGTATCTTGGACTTTGTATGCGTCGCTCCGAATGGAATTTCTGGAACACCGAGTGTCTTGATGTTTGTATGCTTTGGTCGCGTTATCCGGATGCGGCCGTTGCCACTTGATAATTGGATGATTCTTCGACGACTTTCGCGAAATGACGAGCGGGTTGCTTGTAAACTTGCTATGGAGAGCATAAGTGTCATGTTATTGAGGCTATGAGCCACTGGCTCACGGCTCTAGCATTCAATGGGACTGTAGACGCACGCGTGCGAAGCTTATTTGTATGGTTATCTATGGCATTTGGTTGCTCATGAGGTGCGAGCGCAGCGCCGACATGGAAATCAAGATGGCCTCCTACACAACGCAGCGCTGCGTAAATACACTGTCATAGGAGCTAGAATACCTCAGAGCGGATCGTGCGACTGCCTTGCTGCGGACACGTGTTGACCCACATGTCGAAGAGCGTGTGCGCTTGGTCGCCGTTGATCGCGATCGACTCGTCGGCGCTCGTGCACTCCTCGATACCCGAGACACCGCCAAACACAATGAGGACGTGCCTACACAACGCTATGGATAAGCACATACTCAATGCAGCTGAGACGTTGTACTCGAAGGCGGGAGCTTGAAGTCCTTGTCGTCGACGCAGCTCGTACCGCGCTCGGACGTACCAATCTTGAGATCATAGCCCTTCTACAGTGCGTCATATATGAGCGACATACGAATCGAAGACGTCGGATGGCAACCTTGTACGGACTCTCGGTCCACACTTCCTTGAGCGACGTGGCAAAGCGCATGGTGTAGCCCCAGTACTGGCCGAGCTGCTCGCGCGGCTCGGCAGGCGACACCACCGTCCCGGCCACTACGCGTCAATGCATCGCTTAGAGCCGAAACGGTTGATAGAGACAAGAACGTACACTTCTTCTTGTCCTTGGACGACTCGTCGAGCTTGACGGTCACACGGACGCCGGGCTGGAGATGCTTGTCGATGACGGCAAACTTCTTGAGGCCGACGTTGACATGCGACCCGCGCTTTTCCTTGCTGGGCACGTCGACAACGACGCCTTCGCGGTACGTCGTCCACTCGTCGCCACGCATGTGATGGGGACAATCGAGCGGGTTGAGCAAGCCGGCGTACTTGAGGTCCGAGTGCACCGGGAAGAGCGCCTTCCGGAGGTACTGGGGCGTCTCGAGGTACTGGAGGATGCGCCCAAGGAAGACATGGCAGTCGTTCGGGTTGTTGTACTTCTTCGTCACGTCCTTGTCGTTTGCCGCCTTTCCGAGCTGATCGTCAAACACAATGACCTCGTCGACCTGGAAGATGGCGGCCGCGCGCGCAATCTGACCGGCGAGGTACGTCTTGAGCTCCTTCGTCTGCGCGTTGTCGACGATCGAGCCGGGCACCGCGATCGAGACGGTGAAGCGGCGGCCTAGCGTCCGGCGCTCTTCCTTGAGCCGATCAGCTTCCTGTTCACGCTCGACCGCCTTGGCCGCTTGCTTGTCGACGCGCTTCTGCTTGCGGCGGGCTTGGCGCTCGGCGAGGATCTCTTCGCGCGACTTCTCATCCACATCGGACGAAGCACGCGCGCGCTTGGCGCTCGGCACCTTGGTGGCATGCACGTCCGCGGCCCGGCGCGCGACCTGCTCGACCTCGGAGTCGCTCGACTCGCTGCTGATCATTGCTGCTGCTTGGATCTAGTTTTGGCCAACCAAATAGAACCGTTATCAAAACCTCTGAAACAAGATATTTCACACATATTGTTTCACAGAGGTGCGTTAAAAAGGTTTGACGCGCGTCTTACCTGTGTTCCAAGTTCCTCCATTCCGATCGTGGAAGACCCAAGCAACGAACAGCAGCGCATGGAGAGGGACGAGCGTTGGCCAACGTGACTCTACAGGTCGTAATCTTCGCCTTCAGAGTGCGTTGCCAGCGCTGACGTCGTAAGGAAGCGTGGTCTAGAAGAATATAAGTTATGGTGCTGCGATCTCTAGTGATTGCTGGACGTCTGGTGCTTTGCTCTCACATGTCAAGCCAAGTAGAAGACTTGACTCGATATCAAAGCACCCGAATCGCACCAGCGTGGGTTGAGGCCCACAAGAAGCTCCTCCTAGGGACGCAAGCTAGGCGTAGCAGGTTCAATATTAAGGGTCGCTTGAAGTGCTCACTCTCCGTGATGCACGCCTTTTTGGATTCGTGTTCCAGCTATCGGAAGGGCTACAAGAAGGGCAAACGGCCGAGTAGTTGGAGTATTAGTTTGGATCTCGAATCGGCCGCTTGTTAATTCCTATGGCGCGTAATCACCCAACTTCAACGGACTTTAACCCATTCTCGGGCGGTAAAACAGCTCGTGTAGCGTCAAAAAGGCTTGTTGCTGCTTACGAAACAGCACAAGATGAGCTTCCCGAAGAAGCCGTGGGAGTCGGCGACGAACACTGCCCGACCGTCGCCCGCAGTGACAACGACGGCCTCCTCCCCCGCGTCCTCGGCAGCCGCCGTCGCTTCGTCGACTCGGAGCACGACCATCGCGACGCCGGCGACCCAGGCCATGACCGACGCCAGCGATCCGTCCATGGCCAACTCGATGAACGCGGCCTACGGCGGTGGCGCGTACGGCAATCGCTACGGCAGCGGCTATGGCGCTGGCATGGGCGCTGGCATGGGCGGCTACGGCGGCGGCATGAGCTCGTACGGCGGAATGGGATCGTACGGCGGCGGCTACGGCTCCTCGTACGGTGGCTACGGCGGGGGCATGTACGGCAGCAGCATGTACGGCGGCGGCGGTATGTACGGTGGCGGCGGCATGTACGGCGGCAACCCGATGATGGACCCCAACGGCAGCCTCGGCTGGCTCGCGAGCTTCAACCAAACGGTCGGCGCGATCGGGCAAATCACACAGGTACGCCATCTCCGATCCTCTTACTGCACAGGGTTGACGCTGCGCTAGCTTCTTGGCATGAACGCCGAAGCACTCAACTTTTGTTTCGGCAACTTTGTGCATTTCATGGAACGCATGGCGTTCATGTGCACAAGCGCGGTCGCGATGCTGGCGCCGCGACCGCCGTTCCCGCCGGGCCACCCCCGCTACGGTACGCACTCGATACCCACATGAAATCTTCGCTCATGATAATGCAGGTGAGCCGCCCGAGACGGACGAAGAGATCAAGAGCCGCCTTCGCCGCGTCCGCGTCGTCAAGTTCCTCGTCTCGATCCTCTCGCTCTACATCCTCCACAAAGCCTACCAGAAGCTCAAGATGGTGCTGTGGCAAACCAAAAGCAATCAGCGCAAGGCGCTGCCGTTGGATAGCATCTACGCACGTATCGCGCCTGCGACCAACTAAACTTTGTTTTATTTGTTGTTGAATTATTTCGAAATGTCACCCCAGGTTGTTTATAGGGCGGTTGGTTCTACTCGTACAACAGCTTTGTTCGTGCTGCATGCTATCACTACTCCCTCATGTCTCATGGCAAGATGACAACAAAGACAATTATGTCCAACATGGTCGACAATAGGTAGAATGTGTACAAAGTCATTTGAAATATCAAAACACGTCCGCAGGTCCTTTCACGGCGCGGGGCAGGTGTGGTTCCAGCGCCACTCGTATTGCTGGGTAACGTTGAAGTAGTGCACGAGGGCGGCGGCGACGACAAAGCAATGCCACACTTGGTGCGACCCACCCCAGACGTCAAAGCCACCCGGGTACAAGCGCTCGGGGAACCGAATCGAGTAAATGAACGCGCCAAAAATGTACAGAAAGGCCATGAGCAGCAGCGGTCCGAGGACGACGGTCACGTGCTCGTCGTAGACACCAAACATGAGGCAGAGGTGCGTGACCGGGATGATGCCAAAGAGTCCGAGTCCGATGAAGATGCACGTCCGGATGTAGAGGTATTCGAGCGTGCTAAACTTGGGGATGAGCGACATGGCAAAGGTGGCGCCCGCGAGCACCGAGATGGTGGTGAGGTAAAAGGTTCGAAGCAGCGGGTGGCAGTAGAATGAGTAGTAGATGAGTGGGTAGAATGACCCAGCAATGAGGACCGCGATGCCGGCGTAGTCCATGCGGCTGAGGAAAAAGTAGATTTGCCGGTTCACCACGTAAAGCAAGTGGAACGTCGCCGAGCACGAGAGGCACACGATCGCACTCGCAATGAAGACTGCCATCGGCCACGTCGGCACTTGGTGTCCGAGCTCGTTCTCGAGGTGACCAAGCGCTTCGTCCAAGTGATTCAAGCCTTGAAGCAGCGACCGGTGCACGCTCGGCGACAAGTGCGATTGGAGCTTGTGGATCCGGTCCGAGAGGCTGTGCTGGAGCGCGAGCAAGTTCACTGAGAGGTGGCGGTTGACCCATGCGTGCTCCATGAGCTCGAGCAGCTCGTGCTCGAGAAGGCGCATGTCCCGCTGCAGCTGCGCAATGTGGTTGGCGTCGTCGTGGGTGAGCGTCGACAGTGTCGTAAACGTGCTCTCAGCAAAGAGAAGCCCGCTCGCGGCCTCGATGCACTCGCGCGGCGACCCGTTCAAGCTCAAGCTCTCCATGACGAGGCGCTCGCTGCTGGATGGCGCGGTCTGCGCCGTGAAGAGTCGCTGCGTGTGCTGCCCGCCGTGCAGAAAGGGCAAACTCGAGACCGTGGCTGCGTGGGGGTGCAGCACGGGCGCACGGTCGACCTCGACCTGGAGGCACACAGAGATGAGGAGGCTCCAGAAGACGATCGACCCGATGAGGTGCGTCCAGACGTTCATCGTCTCGTTGTGGAGCTCAAAGAGCGAGAGAAAGCTTTCCTTGATCGAGTAGTGCAGCCGGTAGCCGTGGTGGATGTACGAGTTGTCGCCAAGGTACGAGAAGCCCTCGTCCTCAAGCGTGTGGTAGGCGTCCAGGCGCTTGCGCTTCTCGTTGGCCGCGTGGGTCGGCGTTGCTGTCACCATGAGGCCGCGTCTTCGCAAATGCCCGTTGCTGAGGCCATCCCTAAAATGGCCGCCTGTCTATTTTGATTGGGCTTGGTGCACGCAACTTTAGACGTTGATGTATACGTACACATCTCCGTCAACACGACCAACGAGCCATACTGCTTGTGTTCAAGCACGAACATAATAGCTTATGTACTGGGAATTACGTGCAAGGTGATACATGGAAGCAATCGCCGCTGGCATGGCCACGTCGGTGCTACGGTTGCGTGGATTTAGCTTCGAGAATGGATCTGCGGTGCAAACACCAGCACTCGAAAGCGCACCAAACAGACTAGGATCGGGTGCAGAATTGATGTGTTTATAGGTGCTATTGAGCTGTTTCTTGGAGAAATAGGTGCCATTTTGCGAATTTGGCCATTGACACAGCGTGGCTCGACATCGCATCTGGGCACAGGCAAGACGTGGTTGGCGGGAACAGAGCAGTGATGTCATCACGACGGAGCTGCAAAACAGCCGAGCGGACAGAGAGAGGCGCGAAAAGCACAAAGACAGGGTGCAAAAACCTGGCTGTGACCAGAGTTCCGCGGAGATCCCTTGCACGCGGACGAGGAATGATGGTGCTGGGCTTCACATTTGACATCATGACCTGCATTGGCGTGACGTCACAGCGCGCGAGGCCACAACTTCCATGCATGTACTGGACAACGCATGGCCCTCGGAACGGTGCAGTGCACCGTAGCACGCCACGACAATGTCGGTCAAAAGAGTTGCCGTCGTCTTCTCAACGCGACTGAATTCTTGACGGTAGATCCGTCGTCGATGCCAGGAATTGGCGACTTTCAAATCCAAGATTCGAAGGCTAGATCACGAGACGCGGTGTGTAGTGCAATCAATTTGCGCTATTGGTGTATGCGGATGGTGACGGTGCCATTTCAACTGGTGACGTGTTGAGTGCGTACCACGTCCACAAAGTATCAGCTTTCTTTCAAGTGTCTTCAACGGCACTTTTCATACAGTGGGCTAAGCGACGAGGTCCGTCATGACGTTGCCATTGGCAAGGTACGCGTCGATAGCACTCGTGTCCGAGGACCACTCGGCGTCGTCCTTGGCAAACGCTGCCGACGTCTTTTCATAGAGGCGAATGTGGTGCCCGATGAACGCAACGTACCACTTCCAGAACGCCCGGTGGCGCAGCAATCCGCACTCGCGCACGGCCCAAAAATGCAGGCGCATCCAAATGCGAGCATCCACGAGGCTAAAGGGCCGGCCGCGCACGGACGGGTGCCGCTTCGACGAGTGGCGCGCCTTGTGGTGCGCGGCGCCAAACGACGGTGACGGCACGGACACGTCGCCGCCCATTTCTTGTACGAGAAAGGTTGCGAGGCGGTCTGCGTGCATGACGGCGCCGTCGTCCAAGAATGAAAATGGTCGTAAGTGCGCGTCAGCAAGGAAGCGCGCGTAAAAGCGTGTGCAAAAGATGCGAACAGTGTCCGCGCCGCCAATGTCGTCAAGCAGCCGCGTCGTCTTTTCGGACGTGACGAAGCGTCCGCTCTTGGATTCGAAGCGCACATCTTTTTTGATGGAGGGCAGCGGAAGCGCTGCGTGGGCGTGGTAGGGGCAAACTCCCGGGGCACGGGGAGATACTGACGTGTCAGCAAACGGACAGACGCCTCTCTTGGTGCGCTTCAAAGACATAGATTCTCGGTCGATGTCAAATGTAAAATGATGATGGCTCGCTTGCTGACCAAGGAAATGGGCACCTCGTGGAAGAAACTTCATCGCGCTCAATGCAGCTTCAAGAAGCAACCTCCAGCCTCGGGTTTTTGATCATCATACGGATAATGTAAAATTAACCGGATGTATTGGCGTTCAGACATTGCTGGTATGAAAGCAACGCGCTCGAGTGAAATGCAATAATGTATCGAGTACGCTCCACGACGATAGTACTATTTGCCTATTAGGTGGACTACTAGTGTCGTAGTACCGATGCTACTCTGGCTTTTCTGGGCTTTTCTGCGATGCGGGTGGGCGACGACAACGACACGGGCTCTAAGAGTGCACTTTTTTTCGAGGAGCTGGGTTTCTTCTTTGGCGGTGAGCTTTCTTGAACCTAGTACACATAGACACTATCATGACCTCTGACTTGATGTTCCTCCTGTACCTCGTTGGACGACTCACGCTGCGCGTGCTTGTCTTGGATTCCAGACGCAAAGGTGGCACGCTTCGGTAGCGTCTACAAGGATTGCATAGTCGAGCCCATAGAGTAGAGCCGTCGCATATCTATATTCTACCATTTCCACGAGCGTGTACAGTGTCTGGACGTTCTCCACAAGTCGCTGCATCTTGCGCTCGACTCTAGCTCGACCTCGTGGTTGCCCATACAAATAACAGCATGGTACTTTTGGACGCGCCCGATGCCCTTGACAAAACTTTGAAGCACTGCGGGGTCCCATATCGCCTCGAGCGCGGCTAGTCGCTCGCCCACTTCCGATGCGTTCTACATAGCACTCTCACATCAAAGAATGCCTAAGACATAACGGTACAATTGGCACCGAGTCGCTGCGCGCATGACATTCGACCTATCATGACGCATCATGATGTAACTTGCACAACATATCTCGGGCAGGGCATCGTACTTGAGACGTTAGCGACGCCATCTTGGAATTCCAGCCGTCGACGAGCTGGAGCTGCGTGGCTTCGAAATGTTCCATGACGGTGCGCAGGTAGGCGAGACCTTCTCTGCAAATGGCGTAGTCTTTTTCAAGCGTCAGTAGTCGAGCGTCGTTTGACGTTGTTGCTGCTGGTGCCTTTCCAGGCATTGCGTCATGCCGAGCTTCGACGCGTTCAATGTCGTTCTGTAGTGAGAGGAGCGTCGTGTTCAGGAGCCGCGCGTCTTCTTGGTGCCGCTGCAAAAGCTGCTGCACTCGATTTTGATGCCGACCCAATTGCTCATTGAGCACCATCTCCTTTTGCTCGACACTCTCGAAGCGCGTCTCGACGGCGCAAGCGTGCCGGGCGAGCTCGACGGCACAATACTGCTCGATTGACTGCCGGCTGCGCTTGAGCTTCTCATCGATTTCGACGAAGCGCGCTTCCATGGCCGCGCCCTGGTCCGTCGCCTCGTCACGCACCATTGCCACGTGCTACTAGTTGATAGAGACCTTGAGGTACAAGAGGTATGAAGCTTGAAGTAGCGGCACGAACCTTGTCGGTGTGCTCGACAAGCCGCGTTTCAAGAAGGCTCAGCTCTCGAGCGAGTTCTTGTTGGGATGCTTGGAGCGATGACCATCGGTTGTGCTGGGCGTCCATTAGCGTATGGTACCGGTGCACTTGCAGCTCCATTGTCTCGCGGGACGTGTCGAGGTGCATGCGGAGACTGTCGCAGTCCGAGCGACCGCGGGCATCGACAGACTGCAGGACTTCATCAAGCTCGTTCTGGCGTGCATCGAGACGGCGCAGCTGCGTACTATGGATCGTTGCCGCCTCCCGCAGCCCTTCGATCGCGTCCTGAAGCGTGCTGATGTCCTGCGATGCGCTCTGGACCATCTCGCCCGAGTGTTGTTGGTGCAGTTTGAGAAGCTTGGTCACCGTGCCAATCTTCGCTTCGGCGGCCTCTAGAGCAATGCGCATCGTGTGCAGTTGTGTCTCGAGTCCTTGCGTGTGCAAGCACGCCGCCGAGACGCGCTCAAGCTGGACTTCAAGGAACGAAATGTACGCGCCGCGATCTGTGAACAGCTTCTTGGTCTCGGCGACGGCCTGTTTGCCAGCACTTGGGTTGGCTAGCGCCTTGGACCGCATGTACTCTTGGAAGTAGGACCCGCGCTCCATAGCTGCCCCAACGCCTCGCCGGACAAGATCTGGGTGGGCACAGGAAGGCCATTGGCTGAAATGCACAGAACGAATGGCCAATCAGGCGCGTCTGCGGCAGTGGATTGATCAAAAGAAGAAAAATTTGAACTAATCATCTTTGATGTGATATGAACTGCGCTGCGATCACGATGCCGAGGGACATGGGCGACCGAAACACAGAGGAAAATGAAATCGCTCATATTTGGCACGTCAATAAATGACGCAGTGTAGGGGACGAAACGGTATACCGCATTACCGTTGGAGGCGTACAGGCCAAGTTATGCGTCTCCAAAGTTTGGCACTCGCGAACGATGGGATGCAACATATGTTTTGGGGTCGGCTCTCTACTTCCTTGCCTCGTACTGCCCGGTGTGTTTGATGTGTGCATACATACTATAGCACGTTAAAATTACAGCTTTGCGAAAGAGGTGTGGGCTTTCGGTAGCAGATTGGCATGTGTGGTCTTTTTTCCTATTTCACTGTTGTTGAAGTGGGTCGTCTATTACTATAGATAAAACTATGCTAAATAAAATTGTCGGACTTTCTTCGTTGTGTGTACTCGGTTGAGGGACTTGGTTTAGGCAGGCGGAGGCAGGAGCGCGTTCCGCGGGACGAGGTGCCGTCGCGGCCACTCGTGGTGGGCGAGGAGCCGGAGAAGCCGACGAAGAGCAGGCTGCTCGGGCTCTT